ACTATAAATTGCAGGTTGCGAATGGCACTGAATCTAATGTACAGCTTGCGCAAGCTGCGAATGAGCCCATCCCTAGTAATGACCCGTAAGACTAGAATTACTAACTTGATGAAGACAAGGCCAACTGAAATTTCAAAAAGAATGAATGAAAAAATTATTGCAAAGTAATCGACAAATGATTTGGGAATTTACTAACCAGAATAGATGCCCACAAAGTGTAAGAACTGGAGCTGACGCTGTATCAAAGCTGAGAATTTTATCATGTTATTTTAAGTGAATATGATGCTTTGACATTGACAAAATTCCTTACCATATATTGCACTCGTATTCTGATCCACTACTATTTATGTTACTACTGCCGTTAATTTTACAATTGGAACTTCCTTTAACACCACGACTACTACCTTCCCCCGCTGAGGATGAAGATAATGATATCCCTGAAGACAGACCTGTCGAAATATTTGATTTTAACGGTTTGGACGACGTGTGTATTGATGCACCACGACGATTTCTTAGAGTAGGTCTATTTTTTGAAATCTGGGTTGAAGTAAGTCGATCAGCAACACATTGTTCACATTCCTCTTCTTCTGTTTGTTGGCTTATATATGGGGTGTTAAGATTCGTAATGTCCTGAGAAAGTTCTATTCGATTATGATCTATATTATTATCAACGCTACTGTTCGTCGTTTCCGTTTGTAGATCAGTAGTGTTCTCATCGCTAGTAATATCAGAATATAGTATTGGCACAGACTCGTTCATTTCAAGATTCCCATTCCTATTTTCTTCGCTATTTAAAACAACAAATTCCGAATCAGAGGTGTCATCAGCTGGTTCCGGACTGTCAATACCCATTCAAAGGCAGAAAAAAATGTTATTTTTATACATGCAAGTTTATGTCTAAGAACCGGCTGTGCTATTTTATAGATTTAGATGATTCTATTGTTCTGTACATAGCCAATCAACAAACAATTGACTACGCATATCGATATGGTGTTCACCGAAATTCAGTGTCGGAAGACCGCAGAGTTCGAATTCTATGTATAAATAGTTTATATGACCTATTATAGGCAGCTGATGAATGATACGTACGTACGGAGAAAAAATAATTTTATATATAAATCGTTTTATCAAAAAAAAAAAAACAATCTTTCTTCTAAATTTTTATCAATTTTTTTTTTTTTTCCAACTTTCTCCATATTCATTTCACAGCCGTGCACCGCTGAACGGTATACAGCTCTAAGAAATTTATTATTTATAACGACGAATCTTGAGATGTTTTAATCGGTTGAAATGAACCGAACATCGAGTACAACGAACACGCAAAAGATTAATTACGCACAAGCTGCTGCGCAGCCAAAATCGAAACAAGTGTCGCAACAACACCAAAATCCGCATCAAAGTCAGCAGCAACAACAGCAGCAGCAACCACAGATTCAGCAAACCGCTGCCACTACACCTTCAAATAATTCTACTTCATCCGTTAACGGAAAATCTACTTCACATCAAAAGCCACAGCCACAACACAATTCGGTAATTGGCAACGGTAACGCTAACACTAACGTTGGGCGATCTACGCCTACGATCAAAGCAACCCAACAAAAAAATCCAGTACAATTACCAACGAAGGGACAACCTCGAGAAAATAATGGTGAGTGGGCTTTTTTAATCTAGTCAATAAGCGCTTATTGTAATTTTGGAATACTTAAAATGTTCTTGTTCGAAGATTTCATAATGAAGGATATGCTGTTTTTGAGTGATCAAATACTTAGGTTATAAACTATGAATCATTAAAAATAATTATTGATACTAACAACCCAAGCTCATTAAATGTTTGTAGCTATTACAATTCAATTTGGATCATTAAATCAGCCCTCTGCTTCTTCTTTGTCAACCTCTCCGGTGAATAATTCTATCGCTGTAAGTAGTGGTGGTGCTCTTCCTACGATAGTACCGAAAATCAACACGATGTTTGGATCAGTATCTGTGCGAGGTGCTTCTGAAGAATTGGTACATTATTGATTTGTTCATTTGGTTAAAATCGTTGTATATGAATATATGTTGTGAGTAATATAGGCTTTAAAATTATAGGTGCAACCAACGCCGACACCACCAGCTGTTGTTCCTAGTGGTCCTGGTGCTTTTACTACTACTACTACACCGAGGCCTGTAGCTGCACGTATAAATGAAATACCTAGAACACAATCAGCTCCCCCGCAGCTTAATCTCCAAGATTCAAATAACGTAAAAAACGTAGGCCAACCATCAGGTCATCAATCATCTAATATAACGTCTCGTACTCAACCAGTACAAGCGGCGCAACAGTTGCCCACGGCTACACCACATCAACAACCTACCTCAACATCAAACACTCCGCATAACCGTAAGGATTCTGTGTCTTCAACAGTATCATCCAACGACGGTCAACAGAACCAACATTTTCACCCACACCAACCGCAATCACATCATACTAATCATAATCATACAAATCAGCACGCTCATTCGAGTTATGGGTCTCATCATCCTCATGGTCCTCGGCCACACCCACATCATAAACCTGGTGGGATGCCCGGATCCGGACAAGGTGTACCTGGTCAATATCAAAGGCCAAGAGATAATAAAACCGGTCTAACTGGGCCTGTTCAGCCTTCTCCAACAATAAATCCTGCACAGTCTGCAGTTCCGCCGCAAGGTACGATTCCGTTAAATGGACCACAACCTACGATGCCGATGAACGTGCAACAACAAATGTGGACCTATCGTGGTGTAGGTGTACGTAATTATAGGCTTTTACGTTTTTGCTTATTCCGTTTTCAATATGATCATCGATTAACATTACTATGCACAACAGCTGCAACCACCACCAGCATTCTATCCTCCGTATGGATATATTCATCCAATGCCTCAATCTTATGTACCTCCTGTTCAACGACCTCCTATACCACAACATCACATTCCGCAACAGACACCTGTTACTCAGTTTACAGCTCCATCTGGTGGTTCAAAGAGTCGTGCTATTCCAATAATTAATCCAGCTGATAAGTCTACAGTAGTTGTACCAGCACAAACTTCGGTTACAGCCCCAAGCGGAAAAAAAGAGGAGACACCTACTGCCACTGCTAATGACGTTAAAAAACTCGACGATGTGGATAAAGAAAAGGAAAAACAATTATCTGATGATAAAAAGGATTCTAAAGCGATTAAGATTGTTAACCCAGTTGAAAAAAAGGAAAAAGAAGAGAGAGAACAGCGTGAACGTGAAGAAAAAGAACGCATAGAGCGAGAAGAAAAAGAGCGGAAAGAAAAAGAAGAAATGGAACTACGTGAGCAAGAAGAAAAAGAAAAGGAGCGAATACGTAAAGAGCAGGAAGAAAAGGAACGTCTGGAACGAGAAGAAAAAGAACGTAGAGAGCGAGAAGAAAAAGAACGTGAGGAGAAAGAACGTAAAGAACGTGAAGAGAAAGAGCGCAAAGAACGTGAAGAGAAAGAGCGTAAAGAACGTGAAGAAAAAGAACGTAAAGAACGTGAAGAAAAAGAACGTAAAGAACGTGAAGAAAAAGAACGTAAAGAACGTGAGGAAAAAGAGCGTAAAGAACGTGAAGAGAAAGAACGTAAAGAACAAGAAGAACGAGAAAGAAAAGAACGTGAAGAAAAAGAACGTAGAGAACAAGAAGAAATAGAAAAGAAAAAGAAAGAGGAAAAGGAGCGAGAGGAAAAGGAACGAAAGGAAAAGGAACGAGAGGAAAGGGAACGGGAGGAAAAAGAACGAGAGGAACAAGAACGTATAAGACAGGAAAAAGAGGAACGTGAAAAGAGAGAGCGCGAAGAACAAGAACGTATCGAAAAAGAACGAAAAGAGCAAGAAGAAGCTGAAAAGAAAAAGGAGGAAGCTAAAGCTAAGGCAGAATCTGAAGAAGCTGAAAATAAAAAAGAAGCAGAGTTGGCAGATAAAAAAGATCCAAAAAAAGATGAAAAAAAAAATGGCAAAGGAAATCGGCCTGGACCATTAGATTTATCTCGTACGACTTCTGCACCTGCTGGTCCACTTAGTAGCGCTCGCCTAATTGACGATCTAAATTCTGTGCCATATCCACCACACATAAAATCACCTAATCCTAGTGCTCCTGGAAAATATAAATATGATCGTAGCTTCTTAATGCAATTCATGAATGTTTGTAAAGAAAAGCCAGAAAACTTACCCGCGCTCGATGCTATTGGTATGGATGAGCCGAAAGATGACAAAAAAAATGCACGAAATCCTCCACGTTTAACCTCGCGTTCATCTTCACAACACGCTAAAAGCAGCCCCGGCCAGGCAACACAATATCAGCCAATGGGAGACTTTAAATCTCTACCAAAGTCAACCGGTGATGACCGATTTATGATGCAAACTACCACAATTTCTGGTAGAACAAGTTCAGGTTCAAGTAGCTTTGGAAGATCAACACTTGGTCCTCGCACTGGAAGTGGAAGTACGTTATTACCCGCGCCGATGGGAGTAGGTCCTAGTCCTCCAAGTCCAGGACGAGGAGCCGGTCGTCGTGATAGTAAACGTATGAGTCGACATCAAATATCTCAAGCAGGGGGGCAAGACCAAGTGACACCTCTTGAGCCTACAGAGGGCCGATGGGTTCCTGGTATGATAAATCCTACTCCTAGAGGTTCAGATGAGAATTTGCAAATTGAAGTTGTTCAACGTAAAGTGAAAGCCCTTTTGAACAAATTAACATTGGAAAAATTCGATAGCATATCGGATCAAATTATTGATCATGCAAATAAATCTAGATACGAAAGAGATGGCCGCACACTTAAAGAGGTTATTCGACTTACCTTTGAAAAATCTTGTGATGAGCCGAACTTTAGTCAAATGTATGCACAGCTTTGTCGTAAGATGATGGAAAGAATTGATACTGAGATAGTGGATGAGAATGTTACAAACGCCGAGGGCAAATTTGTTCAAGGTGGTACATTATTCAGGAAGTATTTATTAAATAGATGCCAGGAAGATTTCGAAAAAGGTTGGAAAGTGAATGTTCCAGTTCCTTCCAATGAAAAAGGTGAGCCTGACCTTATGTCAGATGAATATTATACTGCGGCCAAAGCAAAACGACACGGTCTTGGTTTAATACGCTTTATTGGTGAACTATTTAAGTTGAATATGCTGACTGAACGTATAATGCACGAGTGTGTTAAAAAACTGTTAACAGTTCAAAGTGGAATTCCTGAGGAGGAGGAAATGGAAAGCTTGTGTAAACTCATGACGACTGTAGGACAACAACTTGATCATACTAAGGCAAAATCCCATATGGACGCTTATTTCCTTCGTATGGAAGATATTTCCAAAAATTCGAAATTGTCAAGTCGTATAAAATTTATGCTTATGGTTTGTTTTATTTATCATTTTATTATTTTTTATGAAATGTAAAATTTTATTCATGGTGACATTTGATATCATAACAGGATGTTATTGATCTTCGGAATAATAGCTGGGTACCACGACGCGATAACAATGCACCTAAGACTATAGCTGAAATTCATGAGGATGTAAGTGGCATATCGTGATTATCGAATAAAAAATGTATGCTTCAATTTACCAAAACATTTGTAGGCTGCAAAAGCAAAAGAAGAAGCAGAAATGTTAAGACGAGCTGCAAGTTCAGGTGGACGAGGTACATATAATCTATTATGAATTTTATTTAATCCATTGAATTTTGTGATTAATTATCATTTTACAGGCATGCCTAAAATGGCAGATCAAATATCACGTGGTGGCTCAGGTCGCCGCGACAAAAGTATGTCCCATGGCTCAAGTGGACAGTCGGTAAGCTCTGATGGCTGGAATACGGTTGGAGGTA